GGCCCAGAGCAGGTGCCAGGGGAACGCCAGTGGACTTGAACTTGGATCAATTCACGACCAACTATGTCTCGCAGAGGCTGACTTCTGAATGCCTCAAGGCTTGGTCTAGCTGGGCTCGCCCCAGGCTGAGGTAAAGGTGGCAGCGCTCCCTGGCCTCCAAGAAGGATCGCTGCTCAGAGGGAAGCCCACAGGCCTGGACGCTTAGCCTGGGGTCAGATCTGGTCACCCATGGGGAGGAGCTGAGACCCCCCACTAGACCCAGGTGCTCTGTCAGCTGGGTGCCAGGGTTTCCCCAGCCTGGGGAGGGGGAGAGGAAGAAATGCAGGCTGCTTCCCCCGTGCTGCCTGTGGTTGCAGCCCGATGGCCACATTCCAACCTTCCTGCCGGCCTCTGGCCACTGCGGACTTTTAAACCTGGCCAGACAGGCCGAGAGGCTGGACCTTCTTGAGGGCCAAGTCTGTCCAAGGAACAAAGGCTTCTAGGCCAGACTCCTGACCACAGAAGAGACAGGCCAGGCTTCCAGCACAGCTGGGATTTCAAAATACCTAGCTCATTGTTGGAATACCAATCACGACGGTTGGAGACTATCGTTACTGTCCCCTTTGACATCCCAGCAGAGACCCGGGCTGCATCAGACAGCTTTCTCTCTCCGTTGGCCCATGGAGGCCTACAGCTTCTCCTTCCTCAAACCCAGGATGCAGGCCTAGCCTGCAGAGGCCGTTTCCGGGCAGGGCAGCTGCTGGGGCTTGGCCTTGTAGCAGACACTGGTCCTCGAGGTCCTGCCTGGGTCCCATTCATTTGTATCTCAAGAAAAATAAAGCAGGTAATGGACAGAGAGTGACTCTTTGTGCATGCACGTGCACGTTATTTTGGATACTCCCTCCCTGAGGAAGGTCATTTGAGTAGACTGGAATGATGTGAGGGAGCAAGCCATACAGTTATCTGGGGAAGAGCATCTAAGGCTAAGAAGGCAGCAAGTGCAAAGGCCCTGGGGCCTGGGGCCCATTTTCCGTTTGAGCTAATGTCACCAACTGTTCCAGTTTGCCCCAGACTGAAAGGATTCCTAGGACACCGGACTTTCAGTTTTCAAACCAGGATGAGTTGGTCACCCTATCGAGGGAACCTCAAGGAAGCCAGTGTGGCTGGAGCAGGGCAAACAATGGGAAGGACATGACATCAGTGAGGTGACAGGGCATTAGGTCCCATAAGGGCCTGCAAGGACTTTGGCTTTTATTCTGAGTGCTATTAAAAGGCTACTATCACAGAAGTGACAGTTTCTTGTGCGTTCAAAACGCACCATAGTTTCGAATACACCAGCTACAGAAAGAACGTGCTAAATGCTTCGGACAGTTGGGTCCTTCAGTGGGGACTCTGCGTCCCACAGTGGTGGACTAGGTCAGTGAGACCAACTTTCCCGCTTGGGACAGCCAAAGAAGATGAAGAAAAACAAGTTTATATCTTAGAAACGTCAAACCAGCTAAAAGGCAGAAGAGGAGGATCTAGGGAGGTACATTCAGATGGTTTTGCCTTCAAAGTGCTTATGTGTTCTGAAGGGTTGGAAGACTCAGCTTCACTTTTTATTTTTAAACATTTTGGTTTTTTTTTTTTTTTTTTTTTTTTTTAGCTGAGCCATCCTGCCACCTGTTGGCAGCTCAGCGGCTGCTCAGCTCGGGCTGACTCGAACCGCTGTTGCTCAGAGCTCAAACTCTTGAGCGAGCTCTTAACCAACTGAGCCACTCAGCCGGCCCCTAAACATTTTGTTTTTTAATTGGGGAACAGTGTGTTTTTCCAGGGCCTGTCAGCTCCAAGTCAAGTAGTTGTTGCAATCTAGTTGTGGAGGGCGCAGCTCAGTGGCCCATGTGGGGATCGAACCAGCAACCTTGGTGTTATGAGCAGTGTGCTCTAACCAACTGAGCTAACCAGCCGCCCAAGCTTCACTTTTAATGGCCCTATTGGGTCAGGGGGATAAGCTCAGAGTCCCGGGAACCTCAGACTTGAATTTGAACTAAGGTCTTCCCTGACTGTAGCGCCTCCAGGCATATGGCAGAAGCGCCTGAAAATCTTCTGTCGTCCTAGGTCTCAAGTGTTCCTTGCAAATAACATTTATAAAATACAACATCCAACACACCAAGATATCTAGACACACAAGTAAATAAGACCCCACAATGGAAAACCAACAGAAACACACCCACGAAAACTTGAGATGCTGGAATTGTGAGACAGAAACCCAAACGCCACCTCCTCTGATCACAATAACACTGAGTGGTAGACACTATGATTATCTCTGCTTTAAAGATAATGAAACTGAATCTCAGGAAGCTGGTGATTTTCCTAAGGTCGCACAGCTAGTATGTAGGAGAGCTCTGATTCAACAGAGGTAGCTTTCCTCCGTCATCTTTGCTGTTGAAAACTTATTACATAAGAGGGTCCTTAGAAGAAGAAAAACTAATGAGCAAGAGAATTATGCGTGGTGTGCCCCGTAGGCCCTCCGCCCTCGGAAGTCCTAGAGGCATGATGTCAGAGGCTGCAGCTGTCCCAGAACCTCGGCCAAGAGCCACAGCATTTCAGTAATGGGAGTGGACAAACAGGAGGAATGCCTGTAAGGGGACACCTGCCCAGCCACCCACCCTCTTGTCAGGGACAGGCTCGAGGAAGATGATGACTAGAGAGCATGCGAGTGGCCGAAACACCATCCTGCTGGGAGAATACGTGGCTTTCTGGGTGACAGCAAGTCCACTCCGAGGACTTTATTCCACAGATACCCTTTCACAGGCATCATTCACAAGAGTGAAAAACTGGAAACCCCACTTGCGCACTCATAGAGGGCCAGTTTAAAAATTAAGGTATATCCACACATGTCACAAAGCCATTAGAAAGAATGAGGTAGATTTTTATGCATTGGCATTTTTTAAAATGCCCAGAATATAATATTAATTGAAAACAACTATTGCAAAACTGCAGATTTTCTACCATTTCAAAAATTTTTTACATATACACACATATGTAGGTATGTATATTTGTGTGTATATTCAGAGAAAAAAAATCTGAAATACACCTGGAACTAATAGAAAATCAGAGGCCTTATATTTCGTTATTTATGTCCTGTTTGAACCTTTTATACTGAAACTGTATTACTTGGATAAGCAGAGCTGAGAGTGCACAGATGTGTGTGTATATATTTTGACCTACTTATATGCTTATGGAGGGCTGGTACGACCACCTGTCACCTGCATTATCTCCACAGCCTCCTGACTCTTGGCCCCTTAGGCGACACACTCTCCTCCAGCTTCCTGTCCCCGCCCTCCAAACTGCTCTCAATAAAGATTTTCCTAAAATGCAAGGCCAACCATGCTGCCTACCCTGCTTCAATTCTCATTGTCCCAAGGAAGCAACCTGGATTCTGTAAGATGCTCTACCAGCCGCTCCCTTGTCCACGGCACCCCCCACCACAGCCATCCCTCCGCCGTCCCCTTGGACGTCCCAGTCACGCTGCACAAACCGCTCGTTCTAGCTCCTGTCATTCTCTCTTCCTGAAATGGCCTACACCCCACTCGTCCCCCACTCTCCCAGCCCGACTTTTTATCCAGCTGACTTCACTTTATCCTTTAGGGGACATAACTTCTTCAGAAAATCCCTAATACTGGTTTTCTAAGAGGAACCTCTTAGGTATGAGCTCACCGCCCCACAATCACTGCATTTTAATACCTGTCAAATTACCTTGACGCGCCCTTGTCACTAATGTAAGCTTCTAGAAGGATGGGCCTTCTAGACACATTCACACTTGTCAAATGAATCAAGGGCTTCAAGGCACAGTCAGCTGAAGCAGAACAGGTGGCTGTTCTCTGCCATCCATGTGGCAGGTGTGATCGGGGGACACTCCTGAATCCCTGTAACCCTCATTCCACCTGTGCCCGGAAGCGACCTCCCCTTCAGTGAGCAAGCAGTGACGGACCTGGAGTTCACCGGATGTCAGTCACTGGGGGCTCATGCATGAAGGTGATAGACCCGCTGGGGTGGATGGACAGCACACGTCCATTTTGTCCCCTGCTCACTCCTAGCAGGGAGCCCAGCGCGCTAGGTAAGCGCTGCTTATGGAGTGAGCAGACCGTTCCTGGAAGGAGGTGACCCTGCAATGATGGGGGGGCGGCCTAGGTGGGCGCTGAGGAATTCTCTGTTGACTCACTGTCTGCTTCAGAGATCTGTCTCGGGCCACCACGGGTAGGGGTGCAGATAAAGGTGAAAATAGGGGTGCGTACTTGAGCAGAGAGGTCAGTGGCCAACATGCCCCCAGGCCACTCCTCTTTGGCCAGGGATAGGGTATTTCCAGCCAAGGCTGATTCTGGGGCGCTGGAAAGCTGGCTAACTCCACGCACTGTTCCTGACCCCTCTACTCCCAAAATACATCATGGCATATGGCAGGGCGAACTTAAAAATATTGATGGTTTAGAAGGAATTCCATGGCCTTTCTTGAAAGAGCTACAACGGCGAAGCTGGGAACCTGTCCCAGACCATCGTTTCAATGGGGACACAACCTTCGTGTACAGAATGTGACAATTTGCAGGGTCTTGGGGCGTCCTCCCACCCCACCACGCACCAGAAGCCATCCCAGCCCGTTTCGGAAGTAACCAGTTGTCCGCCCCCAGAGCAATTCTTAAGCATGGATCTTGCTTTCTTCTTTCGGGGTTGGATGGCTGAAACAGAAAGCGTCCCTGCTCTACCTGCTCAGAGGACACGATGTTATCTGTGCCCATGAACCAGGCCTGAGGGCTAAACCTCACCGGGCAGGGACCCTGACCTTTTTTTGCTCTGTTCATTATCTCACAGGTCAATAAGGAAAAGCGCCCGCCTGCAGGAGGGGTTCTTCCAGGGCCTGGATTAACTCAGCAAGCACAGAGTCTTAGGGGCCCCTTCAAGGCCCCCAAAATCTCACTCCTCACTCAGTGTCGTCAACCCTCCTTTCTGGACAAAAAAAGAAAAAAAAAAAAAGGAAACAGACTCACTGGTTCCCGGACGAAAGCTGAGCCAGCTGCGAGGGGGAGAGCCGTACTTTGTCAGGACTGAATTCATGCTTGACCTCTGAGGGGGCGGGGGCACCTTGCCTGGCCCTCCAGCCGCGGGCTAGAGCCACTGGTCTCTGTCCCTCTGCCCAGCTGCAGCCCCAACACTGGAGGGCTTCTCCCAGGCTCAGCCCCAATCTTAGCTTCTCCAGCCGAATCCGTCTGCACAGAAAACCACGGAGCTCTCAGTCCAGCCAATTCGCTTCCCTCCGACGCAGGCCCCCTGGGCGCTGTATATTTTAACGTATGGACTTCGTGGCCGCGGTTTGCACTGCGTTTCCTTGCTGGTGGTTTTCTCCCCTTGGATTTTCCATTCCCAAGTACCCATTCGCTCCCTGGAACAGACTTCTCACACTGCTGGCCGCCTGGGCAGCTGCCTTCCCTCCTTTCCAGGAAAGCGATGCCACGGAGACCCTCGTCTCTGCAGTCCCAACAGCCAGCAGCAGCCCTTCAGATGGACTCCTTGGCAAGGAGGGAGGCCTGAATGTTTGGTGGCTTCTCCCTGCCCGGCAGACATTCACAGGCAAACTGGGCTCCAAAGCATTAGAAAAACCCAAGCCACAGTCTGCTAAGCCCCACGGCCAATCACCATGGCAACCCTTGGCTTCCCAGCCCAACACACTGTCTGCCGGCTGAGCTGTTTGCTTACTCAGCTCCCAGCATTTCCAAATTGGATCTGCTGCCCCTCCATTCCAGTGCAGCTTCGCAGGCTGCACCCTGCAGCCCACCCTCTGCCCCACTCTTTTCCTGGCAAAGCCTTTCCACAGAAGCCCCGAGCATCATGTGGCTTCTTCCCCTTACGGCACAGAGGGCCCCCATATTTATTTTAGCCACTGTTTGCACTCCGCTTATCAGCCAAGTCTCATTTCCTCGGCCAGGCCCAACCCTGGGAGTGAGGACCAGAGCTGAGCCCACACGGGCCGAGATGCAGCTACAGGCACAGACCCCCAGAATTTTTTCTTTCTTAATTTGAACTTCTCTGAAAGCAAAATTTCTTCTTCTAATACTCTCAAAAGACAGTCCAGAAAGAATATAGCAACCTCTACTTACATACTTAGGCCCAAACAGAAAGTTTAGAATAAAACCTGCCACTGCACTCAGTACTGAAGCGGCAGAAGGCGCAGGCTGCCGGGGTTTCCCGTTTGCCCTGCTGCGGCGCCCAGGTTCCACTAACCCCCTTCCAAGGTTTTATTTTCCCCACTGTTTCTGCCATTATTTCTCCTAAGCACTGAAATAATTTTCTGGAATAAAATGGTCTAATGAAATTAAACAAATTCATGTTCTCAAAAATATTTAATGATACAGAGTTATGTTAATTGAGAAGAGCTGGATAGAACACCATACATACAGCAGGACACCAATTTTGTAAAATAACCACACACACGGTTTAAAAAATGTTTACCAGACAAGACAGCATCACATTACTAGCGATTATCTAGGTGGTGGTGGACTTACGGATCATTTTCTACATGTGGGAACTGTTCATACAAGTTGAAAAGCATTAAGTGGAGGTTTAGGAAACACTCCAAGGGATGGGTAACCAGCGGGAACCCTGGAGCCTACTTCCTTGGAACCGCCATACTCCCCGTGGAAGAATGCTTTTAAGGTGAACCTGCCTGGAGGCAGGACAGATAAGATGGTTTCTGATTCACACATTTAGATTCTGCTTGGTCCCAACATGACTGAGGAATACAGTCTTGGTCCCCGCCTTCCAGGAGGTTAGTCTCACCGGACACTGGCTGCACACTGGGCGTTACTGATCTGCCCGACAGCCAGGCCTCAGGCACAACCCACACAGGGGCCCTGTGGGAAGAGCTCCCACCCCACCTTAAAGGGAACAGGCTCGGCCAATGTCTCCCTAGCCAGCGACCCGGCCAGGATCTGAACTCAGAGCTCTAACAAAGCCATCACACTGTCACATCTAAATCTAAAAAAAAATAAAATGGAAAAAAAATCTACCAATCAGACAATTTTGAAAACGTTCACCATCTGGTACAACAAAAGGCACCCCATGCTCACGGGTGCGTAAGTAACCACCCATCAAAGGAGTCCCAGGGGAGGAGGTGGGGGCCTCACCGCCCTGCTGTCCTCTCCCCCAGGCCGCTGTCAGATTCTGATTTCTTGAAAATTATCATCCAGAGCACCTGAAGGGCCAGCTCCACTGTCCCTCTCCCTTTTCTCAAACCTTCAGTTCCCAGGCCAGGGTCTCAGGGTCACTGATCCCTGCCCCCCAAGGCTAATGGAGGAGAGGAGGGAGCAACCGAACTGCCTGTTTACAAAATAAAATGACCCTCTGAATTTGAGAACCTTGTCATTTATTTTCATATCTACCTTTTATAAAAGGATCTCTTTGAAAGAACTGACTTTAAAGAATCACAAAATTGGCGACTAAGGGTTTTCACATTCTAGGTCATATAGTTCTTTAATTTTCTTAAAATAAACATGTACCACTTAGGAAATCACACACACCAATGATGAAGAATAGCTCCAATGCAGAGAGAGTTCCTTACTGCTCACCCTGAACCACGATTATAGAAATAACAGACAAAACCATTGATGCTGAGGATCAAACAGACATGCACGGTGAATGGCATGCTGCCCTCTCACCAGCACACCTGGAGTGGACCACAGAGCCACGTGACCAGGATCTCTGAATCAATCCCCTGAGAAAGGCCAATACAGGCTTTGGCTAACTGTAGCCCGTCTGGCCATCTGACCAATGGCTGACAGTTCCCTCTAGTGGTGACGTTTGTTTTCTTCAGGGCTGAGGACTGAAGACCATCCTTAAAGGCCTGCAGGAAATCAGGCAAAAGGCAAGCCTGGATTTAATGAAAATGCAAATGACAGGGCAGTACTTTCATTCTGAGACTTGCTGCTAATGACCTATAGTGAATATTATTATAAAGATACAGGAACTGAGGAAGGAAACAAAAAGTTGACAGTGGCGGATTGTCTGTTAGAATCCTTTGCAAGGCCAAGACAGAAAAACAAGTATGAGCTAAATTTAGATATAAATAAGAGGCAACTAAGAAGTTGGACATTAAGTGGTCTCTAGGGTATCAAACTCACCCTGGAGGGTGACAAGGGGTCCTGTGTGAATCTGTAAGTCTGTGAATCTACAACATACTTTAAATGAATGTAGATGTTAAAACCCACATCTTCATAACCAGCCTTCAACATGATCTCCTGGGAAGCTGCCATTCACAGTACCAGTCTGAGCTGCTGCCTCAGGAACTATCTCCCCATCTCAGATGCAGAAATGATACAACCCAGACTGATTTCCCAAAACCGTTTCCAACCATGGAGGATCTGGGAGTCATGAATGCCAGGGAAAAGACGAACAGATTTCCATTGTTTTTTCCCAAAGCCATCCGGGAGAATGGTGTTATCACCAGCCTCAGGCACCCCTACGAGAAAGTGCTAAATGGCACACTTGTCCACAGGTACAAGTTCAGGTCCAGCCACTCAAGGGCAAGAACAGACCTTTTTCAGGAGAACTGCTCTGCCAGTCCTTCTTCCACTAGCCAGGTTTCCGGCTCAGCCCAGGGTATGTCTTCAATTCCAGATGAAAAGTCAATTAGGACAAATCTAGTTTTAAAGAGGCCCCAGGGGAGGCTTCCTGGATTTGAGAGCAATTTTTTCAGCATAAACCCATCAGATTTAAAAAAAAATAAAGGTCAGCTGGCCAAGTGGCACGTTGGTGAAGAGTTGGCTTAACCAATGCCCGCTCTGAGCAGCAGGGCCCCGGTTCGGATCCAGTGATGCGGGCCAGTGACGCTGCACCCTCTACAGCTAAGATGGTGAACAACAGCTCGACCTGGAGCTGGGCTGCCATGAGTCGCCAGCAATGGCTTAAGCAGCGGTGGGGCCGGCCTGCAGCTGGTGTGCACTTTCGTGAGCTGCTGTGAGCCGCCGTCCAATGGTCAGCGAGCGACTGCCTCAGCCGGGAAGAGCACAATGATCATAACACCAACATGGGCCAGTGAAGTGACATCCTCCACAACTAGACTGAAGAACAACAACAAAAAAAAAGGAAAGCAACTTGTCTGTTCTGCTTCCCCAATTCCCCAGTAAAATCTTTAAAAAAATAAAAAAAAAGTAAAGGACTCCAAACTTTCTTCTATTAAACCTTGACTAAATTTAAAGCCCAAACATGACCTTTAACACTTAGCCCATAGGAATGGAAGTGAACGTGGGTAACATCACATGATCAGGGGATGAGAACGACCCACCGTTGGGGTCTCCCACCCCAGTCTGACATCACTGGGCGAGGACCAACCAAGACGTGTCTCCACATCCTGTTAGACTTACAACTCCGCTGGCCAGCCTTCCTGCCTCCTGGGTACATTTTTATGGCCCCCGTCTCCCCATTTTTATCCAGATTCCAACAACCACGTCCTCAAAGAACTTTTTAAGGAATCGACTGTATCCTTTCTGTTTTAATGGAGTACCTTTTCCCTGATGTTTTTTCCCTTTAAAAAATATAACATCAAGTATGACTAATCAAACAGCAGACTAAGGCAAAACTTTGGGTCACGTAGCTTTAAGAAGGGACTTAAATTTACTATAAACACTTCCACGAGGGTGCCATCTGCTGCTGTCAGGCTGGAGACAAAGTCAAGCTTTCTGGTACAAAAGTTCCTTCCCTTATTAAAAACATCAGTTTCTTTTTCGATAGAATTTAGGTCTTAGGTGTAGTTTCTCTTTACATGTTTCCTCAGTTTCTCTTGTTCCAATTTTCCCTGTAGCTCCAGGAAGTTTTAAATTATAATCTGTTGTGATGTAAGGTATCATCCCTTCGGGCCCACGCTGAAATAGAAACAGAGAATACGTGGCAACACTCCAAATGCAGCCAAATCTTTTTCCCCAGAAGACAGTGTCAGAAGTTGAGTCGGCGTGGCGTCCTCTCACCCTTCAGACCCTTGGCTCCCGTCCCTTCCAATGGCCCACTTGACGCACTAGCTCAGGCACAAAGGTAGGACTGCCTCCTTTCTGTCCAATTCAACACACCAAGCAGCATGCGAGTAGGTGAGGGCGGGTGTTTCTCTGTCAGACAAGAGGGCGGAGGAACACACACCGCCTCCCAGGCCACTCCCAGGCCATGCAGGTTGGCTCTGGGGCCACATGGGTGCCCTTGGCCAACATGACCTTCCCACGGGTGCACCCGAAGACCGTCCTCAGGAAGGGGTAATCCTGGGGAGGCTGCCTCTGCTCACTTCTCCCACAACCTCCTCCTGGGATAACTGTCTCCCACTGGGTTCCTGACCATGAGTGATGGCGACTCACGGCCTTGCCTCATTCTCCCTGCCTGACACTCCACCTTGCCTCATTCATTCTCTATGACAAAGTGTAAGTTTCCCAAACAATAACCTGTTCCATGACTCTTGCCCCAGTTTCCTCTCTCTCTACTAGGTACACGACCGTCTACCTCCAGGGCTGTCCCTGGGAGCCATACGCACCTGGTTCTTCAGGACACAGTGTGGGACAGAAATGGCTCCGACCAGCAGGCAATTCACGTTTCTCAGCTCCTCCGGGGGCACAGGGGTGAGGATGTGGTAAAGCCTCTTCTCCACGTCAACTCCTCTACAGATTCCTGAAGACACACAAATCACCCTTTCTGGAAGATATCAAACCTCTCCACCACCCCAAATTGCAGATTGGCTTTTCAAATGAGAGTTTCGATTTCAACTAGGTTTTGCTTTGAAAATACAAAGTACCAAGACACGGAGTATGTGAACATTTGAGACTTGGTACCTTCTCATTCAGCCGTGAGGCCCCAGAGTGGTCTTTATGCAAAAGTCCTCGACTGTCTCACCTAAGGCGCGCACGGGCCAGGGAAAAAGCCCCCAGTGGGGACACAGGGATGGCTCGGTCTTTCCCGTCACCAATTCCTCTGTATGGTCTGTGTGAAGTGACACAATTCCTGTGGAAACGCTTTTCACAAGTACAGTATTGTGTAAATCAGAAACGTGTATTTAATTATTTAAGGATTTTGCTAATTTTGGGTCACATTGGTCCAGTACCCTCCAGAAACATTCACTGACATTTATCGAGCTCAGTGAGCCAAGGGGACAATCACATGAGTTGGGCTTGGTGAAGGAGGCAGGGACAAACCTGCTGGCACTGCAGGACCCAGTCCAGATGCTGGACCTGCGCTACAGGACACGCCAGGATGTGACATCATCGTCTGCACTCAGATCACTCCTGAGTGTGGAGACTCTGCTTAAGAAGATTCTCGTGTCCGATACAGAAACGATGGCGCTCAGACCGGCCTGGTAAGCAGATGAGATGGAGTGGCCTGACGTATTTTAAAAACTGAAGCTACCTGACCTGCGAGTGGGTTGGATGTGGAAAATGAAGGCAAGAAAGTGTCCCGAACACCAGAGCGAATCTTTGAAGGACCATTCGAAGGACCCAAGGGAGCAGGAGATGGTGTGGGGTGGGAGGAGGGGACTTGGGGAGAACATCAGGGCGTATGGACCCATCAGGACCCCACTTTTGGACCTAAGTCCTAGATACCAGTGGGATAGCCAAACAGAGAAGTGCACAGATAACACGGGCTTGGGGCTCAAGACGCATGCGTGGGCTGGAGGGATCCTATGGGGAGTCAGCAGGATGGATTTTTGAGCCCCAGCAGTGGGTGAGATGGCCTAGAGAAAGCCTGCTGAGTGACACGGCCGTGCCCAGTCCCTTAGGAATCCTAGATTTAGAAGAGCTCGCAGGAGAAGCAGAGAAAGCTGCTCCCTTCCTGACCTCCAGCCTGAGGCCCACCATACTACAGACAGATGCTCTCTGACCACTCCAACTGCGATAGCTATGAGGTCAAGACCAGCCGTCTACAGCTGAAGAAGTGGATCAATTTCGGGGCTGCAGCCATGCTTTGCTCTCACTCACCAAACCCCAGACAGTCGCAGATTGGAGTCTGGGCAAGCAGGATGGGCCCACGTGCATGCCCTCTGACATCATCCAGGATCCTGCAAAGACCCACCCAGCTGGCATTCACAGCGTACAGCACGTGGGTAGGAGCGACATCAGCGTGGGTGATGCGAAGTGCGACGGCGTTGAAAGGGACCTGGAACAGAATGTGCATCTTCCTCTATGAATTCTACTTGAAAGACGCAATTTTTATCAGCTGATGAACCAGTTATCTAAAGTTCTGTCTGCTGAACTGCCTGCTGAAAAATATCTCAACAGAATGGGAGAACGCCCCCACATGCCGTTACTGTTTCACCGATTTAATACAGAGAGCCTAAGAAATTTACACCAAGTTCTTGTAGACTGTCAACACCCGCTGGACACCTAAACCTCACGCCTGAACATTCTTTTCGAAAGGGACACTTAGACACAGGTTTGGAGATGACCCTTAATGAGTTACAGTCGAGGGGGACTGGGAAAACCCCAATCACCGAGAGGTCTCCTAATGTAAGCAAGTCAGAGTCCGTTCAGTGAGAGAAGCTCCCTTTACTCCCTAATGAAACGTACTGAATTAAGAAAACCGGGTCGCACTCCTGGAGCACAGGACAAGTAACTACCTTGAACATGTAACTTTCTGGGTAACTCCTAACTCTTAAAAGTCGAACAGTATTTTGTTACCCGTATTACAATGCTTAGATTTCAGAAACAAATTTGAAACAACAAAAGGCAGTTTAAATTACTGGAAGGTATGTTTTAATCCAGTTATGAGCTTCTCTAAGTGAGCACAACTCCATTAAACAAACTGCCCAAGATTCTCTGGTGGAGGCGACTCGAAGGCCTGGAGCATCTCACCAGCAGGCTTGGGAAACACGACCTCGCTGTCTGGATCCACGTGCGTGACCTCAGGCCCGTCTCCACCGAATGCCGTTTTCCAGGCTACAGAGAGGCTATACCAGCATCGCCCTCACAGGGCTGCTGTGAGGTCACCAAGCCATCCCACACAACATGCTGAGCAGAGTGCCTGGCACACAGCGAGGGCTCGGTGCTGCAGGCCATACAGCAGGTAAAGGCTCGGGCTCTGGAGACAGGGCGCCTGGACTCCAGCCCCAGCCCAGACATTTACTACAGCCCTCCGGGCCAGCTGACTCAATGTCCCTGGCCTCAGTTCTATCATTTGTACAATGGGGAGAATAACACAGCCGTTGTGAGTAAAGGAGTAAACACAGGCTTGGAACAGGGCACAGTAGTCAGCACTTATGAAATGCTACCTGTTGCTGTTTTATTTTCATCATCCGGAATTCTAATATAAAGGTGGTTCCAATCCCAAGTAATTAAAAGCTTAGATCCCAAGATGTAAATAAATACTCTGGTGCTAGAATCTACTTTTGACAATACCATGACATGCTTTCAGAGTGCTCTCCGGGGGGCCAGGTACCACTGTGACCATCTGCAGAGCCGTTCCACGAGGTCTGGCACTGCCCGTTCTACTGATGACAATCCAAATCGCACACAGCTAGGGAGCAGAAGTGTTGGAGCCAGATGGCCTGGGTTTAATCCCAGGGCCACCTCTGGGGTTTGGCAGAACATTCTTAACCAGCGTGGACCCACAGTCGTGCCCAGCCCAGCCCAGCATGGCACAGTGGTTAAAAGCAGGACCCTGGAGGCAGACTGCCCGAGTCTGATGCCAGCCGTCACTTCCGCTGGGTTACTCAGCTTCCTCCTGTGAAACAGGGACAGTTATAGGACCTAAACCATTGGCTTGTTCTGAGGATTAAATGAGCAGAGTTATACAGTGTGTAGAGGAGCACTTGGCACACAGGAAGCCACAGAAATGTTTGCTAAGTAAACAAAATAAAGATGATCCCAGCCATGGGCTCAGGTTACCTGATAGGGTGTCAGACCTTGTAAGGGATAAAGTGGTTTCGGCACTGGGGGATGCAGCTGGCCAAGGTAACCCAAGACCGCCAAGTCACGGAGAATTTTGTTATGTGAGTCTCTGCAAAGCAAATCAGAATGAGGTGAGGAGAGATTTAACCTTATAGGTCCACCTCCCACTGAGAACAGAGTGCATCTGCCATCACACAGGTTCTAGTCACACCTTCATATCTGGAGACCCTGACTTTCTATAAACCCGGTGGGAAAACAGGAAGCGGGAAGACTCCTCCTAGTCAGAGCTCCTGGCAGCCAGAGCAGGAGGCCCCTTCCGGATTGCTCCTGTGGGACAATAACTGATCTCCTTCATTCACAGCTGGGACAGATCTGAGAAAACTGAGGACTTATTCCTTCTAAAGAACTGAGGACAGAAGGTCTTGTTAAGATGAAGAACACCTCGTTCTTGAACCAAGATGGTTTGTTTACCTATTTCTTGGAGTTTTTCTAAATGCAAAGTCCGACTGGACACATAGCAGTTTATGTCCAGAAAAGAAAGCTGGACTCTCTTTTTCTTCATCAGCAAACTCAAAATACTCTGCAAATTCTGGCAGACAGAAGCCTCGGTTTCTGATTTTGAACCTGCTCTTCGTGTACAGGCCGTCCGTGTCGTCTACATAGTTGGGGGTGAGGTTTGGCATGTATTTACTTCGGCCAGAAGTGAACTGAACGACGTGGCTGGGAGACAGCAGTCGGATCAGGTCGATGAGAAGCAAAAGCCCTTTGTCTGTGAGGAAGGAGATGACAATGGCAGTTAGAGCATCAAAAACCACAACATCTACCTACAAGGAACTAGGATACTTATTCTGAGACAAAGAAATGATCAATAAGAAGAAATCTTCTAAAAACGGCTCCAGTACTAATGCCTAAAAGCCAGAATCTTATTTACACTGCCCGGCCTGTCCTGCCAGATGTACCTCTGTGGGCTTACCTGTCACCCAACCCATTGTGTTGACGATAAGTGGGGACTCTCTCTTGTAGGAGCTGAACACATACTTTATTATCTCAATGTAATTCTCGTAGTCATTTTTACAAGCAGGTTTCCCATAATAAACCATTTTCTGCGGTGTCCTCTGGTGGGTGAAAGGTGGTCCTAAGAAGAGAGATAAGAGCAATCAATCCATGACTATTTAAAAGGTGGCGAGGTCAGCCATCATCACCAGCCAAAATCCTCAGGAATCTGAGACCATCCTACCTCCAGGATGAAATGCATTCTACTTTCTGGAACTACGGCATCATTTCTAAGGCTAATCATGAGAGACATTCTATAAATGTGCTCTTCAACGTTGTCAAGGGCATAAAAGATAAGAAAAGCTAGAGGAGCCGTCCCAGATTGAAGGAGACTAAAGATTTATAACGATACACTGGGCCTATACAGATGATTGGGATAATGGACAAAATTCGAGTAACAGTGCTGCACCAATGTTGCTACCCTGACTTTGGTGGCTATATTAATTATGTAGCAGAACGTTCTTGTTTTTAGAAATACCCACTGAAATATTAAGGGTTTAAAAAAAAAAAAGGGAGCGGCCAATGGCTTAGATGGTTAAAGCGCGTGCTCTTAACAAGGATGCCGGTTGGATTCCTGCATGGGATGGTGGGCTGCACCCCCTGCAGCTAGAGTGAAAATGGCGACTGGACGTGGAGCTGATGGGTCCTGGAAAAAACACACTGTTCCGCAATAAAAAAATTGTTTTAAAAGGAAAAAAATTAAATGGACTAGAGAAAATTTAAAAACCAACCAACAAACAAAAGGGAACAATGAAACAAGGTAAAGAGCTAAGCCTAAACAATTATTTTTGGTAAAGCTGTTAAAACAATGCAAATGTTTGAAGAATTCTTACTGACAAAAAGTCTGTTAAATCCCTAACATTCCTAGCAACTTAATATACCATCTGCTTCTTTTAAAAGTAAACTAAACAAAAAACACACAATTATCTCAACACACACAGAAAAAGCATTTGACAAAATCCAACATCTTTTCTAGATAAAATCATTCCACAAACCAGGAACAGAAGGCAACTTTTTTTTTTTTCTTTTTTTTAGAATTTATTGGGCAATTTGGGGAGGGGAACAGACAAGTTGCTGTCCTTTTGTTCTTTAGTCTAGTTGTGGAGGACGTCGCTTCACTAGCCCATGTTGGAATTATCATTGCTCTTTCCCGGTAAGGTAGTCGCTCGCCGACCATTGGACAGCTGCTCATGGCGGCTCTTGGCAGCTCATGCTGCCTGCCGTCCGCTCACGTTGGCTGCCAGCCACTCACGGTAGCTCACGGCAGCCCACTGCAGCAGCCCAGCTCCAGGTCGAGCTGTTGTTCACCATCTTAGCTGTAGAGGGCGCAGCGTCACTGGCCCTCATGTGGATCCGAACCAGGGCCCTGCTGCTCAGAACTGGCATCCCAAGCCAACTCCTAACCAACGTGCCACTCGGCTGGCCCTAGAAGGCAACTTCTTGAACCTGACAAAGGGAGACTATGAAAAACCCACAGCTAATATCATACTCAATGGTGCAAAACTGGATGTTTTCCTTCTAAGATCAGACACAAGAAGAATGTTTCCTTCTGTTCAACATTGTACTAGAGGTCCTAGCCAGAGCTATTAGACAAGAAAAGGAAATAAAAGGCATCCAAATAGCAAAGGAAGAGGTAAAATTCTCTATTTGCAGCTGACATGATCCTATATATAAAAAAATCCCAAAGAGTTTGCAACAAAGCCAGTAGAGCTCATAAAGAAATTCAGCGAAGTGTCAGGGTATAAGATCAACACACAAAAATCAGTTATGTTTGGGCCGGCCGAGTGGCTCATTTGGTTAAGAGTGTGAGCTCTGAGCAACAGGGTTGCCGGTTCGAATTCCACATGGGCCAGTGACGCTGCACCCCAAGCTGAGCTGCCGCTGAGCTGCCAACATGTGGCAGGAGGCACAGTTGGTGAGAGCATGTGGTTCAACTCCCGCATGGGATGGTGGGCTATGCTCACCTGCAACTAAGATTGAACACGGCACCTTGAGCAGAGCAGCCGTGAGCTGCCAACGGGCAGACAGATGGCAACTAGACTTGGAGCTGAGCTAGCTGCGCCCTCAACAACTAAGATTGAAGGACAACAGCTGTCTATTCCCTTTCCCCAATAAAAATCTTTAAATAAAAAAAAAATCAGGGCTGGCAGAGTGGCGCGTTGGTTAAGAGCTGGCCTGGGACACCAGAAGGCCCCAGTTCGGATCCCACATATGAGG